CTCTCCACACACACCAGTTCTCTGTGATTCTTCTCGCCTGCACCTAGGCGACTTTCTCTGTGCCTAAGGCACAAAGAGACACATGCAGTGTAGGGGCTTTGGCTTATATGTTTGGTTGGTTGTGTTATCGTTGTGCTTGCTGTGGGCAGATGTTTATTGACGTTACGTAAGCTGCAGAAGTGATTGAGGTGGACATTGAAGGCAGAGAAGGAAAGCTGACTGAAGTATAGAAGGCCAGTCACCCTGCGGCGAAGACCGGATTGTTGGGGTAAAGCTATGATCGATTGTATGGCAGTTGATCACAGGCAGAGGCAACAAGAGCCTAGCAGGGACATGGACATTGGTGGTGGCGAACCTAGGAAAGTGTATACTTGATTTGGAAAGTGTATGGTTGAGCGTTTGACAGGTAGAGAGGAGAAAGCTGCTGACATAAACTCGGTGTTGGATGGAAAACGCCCAGTTCATGTTCGGAGGTACACGCCGCGAGAGATCTGAGGGACAAGAAGAGAAGTTGCGGCGGGCTTGCTAGGTCACTCTGTTATTATGTTATTATTTCTTGAAAAGAGAGAGGGTTGCTTTCTGGATTGGTGACGGGAATAACGTGTGAAGTGACAAGACTTGCGAAGGCGACTGAATGCACTACTCGTGCATTGGGCACTCTCAACTTGAAGTTTGTCGTCTTTATCTCTGTTTTGGTGTTTTTTTTTGTTTTTTTTCCCCCCATGTTCGTGACACAATCGCGAGGTGTGGTTGGAAGAGGGAGGGGCAAAAAGTGGATGTCTCCTCTGAAATATTGATTCCATTCAGATTCCTTCCTGCTTTTCTTGGTTGCATCCTCCGGTTTTCATCGGATGAGGAGGGCGAGGACAACTATCGACGGAGTGGACAGAGCAAACAAAGGTCCAAGTTATTTAGCAAAGAAGGATTGAACATTGTCTCGGCTTTTCTGTTCGCCACGCCGGTTTTATTGTGGGTTCCACTAGCAATATTTCTTCGATTGGTGGTCAGTCGGCCGGTCGCTCACAGAACGGTGAAACATCAAAATGGACGTACTTCGAAAGCAAGCCGCGAAGATGCGGGACCAGGTCACGAAACAGCAAGCGGTAGGTAATGAAAGATGACGCAAGCACCCACCCAGCTGAATGATGTGTTGTTATCTTCTGGATGCAATGCCGAGAGCTTTTAAGTGTGAATGAGCGAAAGGCAACGGAGGGGAATGGGAAGAAAGTGAGTTGTAAAGAGTTGGCTTTGTCAGAGCAGAAGAGCTATGGTAAATTAGCGAAGTATAGAAGGAGGAGGAGAGAAGAGAGGAGAGATGATATGAAAAAGGAGGAGGAGGAAGGAGAAGCGGAGGAGGAGGAGGTGACGCAACCGTGTCTTCCCTTGTCTGGAGGAGGAGAAGAAGAGAGGAGAGGAGGACATGAAAAAGGAGGAGGAGAAGGAAGACGACGGAGTAGAAGGAAGGAGTAAAGGGGCGACAGACGAGGAGAATCAACAGTGTCTGCCCTTGTCTGGATAACCAACAGTCAGCCTGAATGTTCGATGCCAAGCCTGGATCTTTTTCTTTTTTAGATTACGGTCAAACAGCCGGTATGTTTGGGCCTTGTCCAGGTGGTGCAGAAGCTCTGGGATAGGCTTGGTCCTGGTCCTGGTCCTGGTCCTGGTCCTGGTCCTGGGCAAGGGATGGGATGGGAACAATCCTAGAAGCACAAGGAAAAAGAGAAACAAGTTCAAACCCTTGCCCATTCTGAGAAACCGAGCGAGGTGCTAGCTTAGAAAGGTCAGAGCGAGGGCAGGTGACGGAAGGAAAGGGGGGAAGGGAAAATAAGAGAGGGATGGAAGGGAATATCCATAAGCAACAGCGAAGGGGCAACCCAATCAGTATGATGAAAAAGTGAGAGTGGGCCCAGGCCACTGTCTGAACGGGCCTGGGTGCAGACACTTTGGCCCAAGGTGAAACTACGGGGCACACGGTCCACCCGGCCAGGCAGCTTCATCGCCCAGCCACTTTCTATATAGAAAAGGGCTGGGCATCGAGGGAGAGGTATTCGGGCAGTTGGGCTGTGCAAGTGGCAGCGCAGCTGGAGCGAATGCTCTTGCCTGCTAGCTAGCGCTGAGTGCTGGGTCGCGCGCACGGGCGCTTGGGGTAAGGCGAGTGCTGCTTGTCAGCGTAGCGCCAAGCCATAGCCGGGCTTGGGGCGCAGATGCTAGCGGAGGTGGTGGTGGTCTTCGTGGTACAGGAGAGCTGTAGGTGAAGTCAAGGGTGGGCATAGAGAGGGCGAGTGAGAGAGGTGATGTGAGATGCACGTACCTGGTCGTCGTGGGAGTCTGCATGAGCGACTTCTGCATGGACCTTGGTTGCTGCTGCTGACGCCAACTGGTTGCATTGTGAATTCGTAGGCTTGTTTAGTAGCTGTGTGGTTGTAGTCTGGGCGCTGAGCGCCAATCATTGTTGGTGGTGGCGAGAGAGTGCTCTCATTGGCAACTGAGTTCGGTGCTTTGGTTCCCCTTTGGTGTATTATCAGTGCATTTCGGCCTTTTTTGGACGGCTTTTGACTATCTGGCTGTCAATGTGATTTTGCAATTTGGAATTCTGTCATTTCGCTGTTGCTCATTTTCCTTGCAGCAGGCTCTTTTGTTTTGCTGTTTTTTGTTTTTGTTTTGTTGTGTTTCTTCTTCTCATGTTCCTCACTCCGTTCCCTTGTCTTTCCCACTCGCTTAGCTTATTGATATCTTTTTGCTTCTTCCTACTGCGCCCGTTCTGCCCTTCTTTTTAGGTGATTTCTTTTCTTTTTCTTGTTGTCACTAGGCTGGGCCGTTACCCGGCCAGGCATGCCCGGGCCATCTGGGCCAGGGGGGATCGCCCGGCAAAACCAGGCGGGTCAAAAAAGAGGGAAGGATCTCCAAAAAAAAGAAACTGACTTCAGGCCAGGACGGCGCTCGGCCTGAGGAGTCGGAATCCGGCCTTACCTTCCATTTCTGTGGTGGGTCACTCAGGAGTGGTTGGGGGGTATAAAGTTACTCTAAACAGTGACTAGAAGGGTTTAAATGGGTATATCTTACGCCATTTCCCCTCATTTATTTTTATCTTGAAATTAATAAGGAATTTTGAGGGGACCCCGAGCCAAAAGTTGCTTGTACTGCAATTTTATACAACATACTTTTTTTTCCAGATTTTTTTGAATTTTTGATTTTTTTTAATTTTTTTTTAATATTATGCGCTGGGGCTGCCCGGGACCCTGCCCGGCCAGTGCGGGGCCCATGCCGCCCGGGAGGGTACCCAGGTGACCTTTCTGGGCCGCCTGGGGACCAGCCTAGTGTTGTCATTCATTTAGCAGCATCAACATGCAGAGTCCAATCTTCTGTTTTGAGGATGCCGCACCGTAAGAAAGGGCAGTGGCTCATGGAATGGCCAAAATCCATCACTGAAAGATAACGACTTTGCATGACTTTAGGCGATTCACCATTGGCCAGGGATCAGGGATTATTACCGATCAGAAGATTGATCGGAACGACGACGACAACACACAAGAGTCTCAAGGCGCTCCTGTGACTCTTGGATTTGCAAAAGATTATGCTTCAAGATAGCACGGACTAGTATAAAAAAGGATGGCGCGGAAATGCAGAGAGCGGATGCAAAAGTAGCTGCGTCAAACCATCATAAGATTATTGGGGACGTCAACAGTAAAATGGAACCTTGCACGACTCTGAACTTCTGAAGTTTCAGAGTCATGCAAGGTTCCATTTTACTGTTGACGTCCCCAATAATCTTATGCTTGTTCTTTTTTTTTTTTTTTTTTTTTTTTTTTTTTTTTTTTTTTTTTTTTTTTTTTTTTTTTTTTTTTTAATGTTCCTTTTTATTTTTTACTTCCCCAAGAATCTAAAGCTTGTTCTGTCTCTCTGCAAGGTTCCGTTTTACTGTTGACGTCAACAGCAAGCATGGATGGCAATCAACATGCGTTGTTGTCCAGGCGAAAGAGGAAAAGAAAAAAGAGGTCTCCAACTTTCCCTGGTCACCAAGTCAAATAGGTTCTGTTGCTGTCTCCCTTTAGTTTGTTTCGACGATATGGCGTGTTCTTGGGGGCCATAACCCTGTTGCGCTGTACTTGTGATGGTGACGACAAGCATGAACCTTGTTCCAATATGAACCAGGTGTTGGTCTATACATCTGACAACCATAACGGAGTGAGTTTTTAATACGTTTTTTTTTAACTGCCTGACTATTCCGGACTTGAGGTTCTTTGTGGTATGGAAACCCTTCTGAGGTTGCAACGTTTTCTTTCTTTGGTTTGATGGTGTGTAAGCTTTGGGGAATCTCACCAATGGGCCTAGCCTAGTTGGTCCAACACCCATGAACTGTAGAAATCCAGACCCGAGTTCAAACCCAGATGCAAACCAAATGGAACAGAAAAAAAAAAAAAAATCCTGAATTACCTGGGGGGGCGATCAGTTGAATAATGATAAGGCCATCCATCTCCCTTTTAAAAAAAGATGAAAAAGAAGAAACTTCAAAAAAGAAAAGAAAAAAGCTTTGGGCAATCTTTGACGTGCAATTTCTGAGGAACGGGTCCCTAAGGTTTGTGGGCGTTTTTGCATGATTGCACCTGCAGGCTGTTCTTGGAAAGTTTGGGCACAAGTCAGAGTCAAATGTTGTCATTATCGACGAGCACGAGCTTCAACGCCATCAGCAGTTGGAGAGACTGAGTGCATCTACCAGTATGGGAAAGGTGAGCTGGAATTTAATTGCTACACCATTGATCAGACCTAACTGTTGGGTAAACTGGTCGAGCTATTCGTTAAGTTGTACTTGCATTCAAGGGCAGAGATCTGCAAGTAGCTGTAGCTGTGTTGCGGAGCTATCGATTACCGTACCTTTGGGAGAGAATACGGGAGGAAAACATAGGGAGTGCTTGGCACCGCTTGCGTGTTTGGCACTGCTTGCTGTTATGTGTGGAACCAAAACTAATGGCAGTTTGTTTTTTTTTTTTTTTTTTTTTTTTTTTTTTTTTTTTTTTTTTTTTTTTTTTTTTTTTTTTTTTTTTTTTTTTTTTCAGGTAGCTATAGCTGTAGCTGTGTAGCACAGTCACAGGTAGGCGAGCAAAGCGACTACCACTGCTACTGGATGTGACTGGCTGTGCACCATGCCTGCAAAACAAACCTATTGAAAGTTGCACGGTGGAGGACGTCACGGGGCTCATGCTGGGATGGGTAGCGCCATCCTGTAACCTCAGCTGTGGGGGAGCTAGATGTGCAGATTCACTTAGCAGCTGCTTTGGCAGCACCTCAGTAGTTATGGATCCATACTTTCGGGCCTCAGACCTCCTCCGTGCAAGCACGGATTCGAATCGGCGCCCTTGGCCACAAGAGCAAAGTCTCTTCACCACAACGAAAACACCGTGTTTTAAAGTGGAACCATACTGGTTGTGATATCCACCCCACCCCTGCAAGGCTGTAGTGTCCTTCACTCACTCACCCACGCATACAACACTAGACGGACGCGGCAATAGTCGCACACTTCGCTCCTGTCCAGCATGTGACGCCTACTGCCTCCGTTGCCCTGAGGGTTTGCATCCTGCTATTAGTTGATGAATGAATGATGCTTAAAATCTCAAGTTGTGGCACTCGGAGTTTTCTGATGCAGTTGCTTATTGAAGAGTAGTATAATTTGGTTGGTTACACACACACACACAACGCGTTGTGCTTAATGTTGTTTCCTGTAGAGGTAAAGCTGTTTCAGTTTTGGCTCTGCCCATCGTAGTGTGCTTCATGTTTGCTGTAGAGGTTAAGCTGCTTCAATTTTGGATCTGCTCATGTGCGTGGAAAAAGGGGTTGTTGTGCTGACAGTCTACAACACACTTGTAGAAGTTTTCAACGCAATATAACGGTTTTAGTGTGCTTCATGTTGTTTGTTATATAGGCGTGAAGCTGTTTCAATTTTGGAGTTGCTCATCTTAGTGTGCTTCATGTTGTTTGCTATATAGAGGTAAAGCTGTTTCCAATTTGGGAGATGCTCATCTGGGTGGAAAAGTGGTTGTTGTGGTGACTGTGTACATACAACACACTTGCACTCGAATGCACAAAACGCCGCGAAACACGCACAACCACACAGGCATAGACACAGATAGACATGCATGCGCGCAGGTGCCTGGGTGAAGTTAGGAGACTGAACCTTGGTGAAGGAGTGATTGTTACTGTCATAAAGTTTCATTATTTACAGTGCAAGTTTGTATCAACCAGATTCCCCTGCTCAACCACACACATGTGATGAACATGCAATTCATACTAAGTTCATAGTGTTTTTTATATCGTCCTTTTTGTTCAGGGTGGATTGGAGATGGTTCATTTGCAACACATATGGAGAGAGAGAGAGAGAGAGAGAGAGAGAGAGAGAGAGAGAGAGAGAGAGAGAGAGAGAGAGAGAGAGACTCATGTTGAAGGTTGTGTTGTGCAGGCATTCCAGCGGGATATTGTCAAGGCAGTGGATGGCTTGGTGGGAACTGGAAACAAAACCAGTGAAGTAGGTAATTGGTTCTCTGCCGGTCTTCTCCGCGGAACTTCCATTCAGATTATAATATCATTATATGCATTTAAAAAAAAAAAGACTTTATGAATCGTCCTTCTTCTTGACCTTGTTTACCAGTTTTTTCCAGTTAGGTAAGATGTAGTTTTTTTTTTTATTTTTAAAGTAGATATCTAATATAAGGTGATGAATAAGTTAATTTTCTGTCAGAGCTGCTATGGTCAGAAAGACAAATGAGTTTTTTTTAAAAAGTTGGTCCATTTACTTTTGGAACTTCTCTGGTCGGTGAGACATGCTTTTTTTTTTTTTTTTTTTTTTTTTTTTTTGGTTGTAATTTTTTAATTGGTTGATGTGGCATGAGTTTTTTAGTGACATTTTTTGGATCCCATCTGTTTTTCAATCGCAATGAGAAAGCATCAACTGAGGCCTCCTGACAATCTCCTTTCTGCAGCAATCTGGTAATGCCCACTGACAATACCCATCTAGGGCACCTCTCTGCTGCAAGCCATCAGGTGACGAATATTTTGCGGCCAGTTGATCCTTATTATGTATGTATCTGCACTTTCCAAAAAAAAAAAAGAAAAGAAGAAGCAGCATCTGGAATTTGCAGCCAGCCACTACAGTTTAGTAACTATAGTTGTTTTGCACATAATCATCTGCTTCAGGGCATTGCAGTCGCCTTAGGCAAGTAATCATCCTGAAGTGGTGTAGGGTCCGAACACCCTGAAAACCACCTGTTTAGGCAGGCTGAATCCTGAAGTGGTGAAGGGTCTCCTGAAGTGGCGAATGGTAAAATTAGTAAATTACGTATGATGAAAGATATAACTGTTGTCAACCTTCTCTCTGCAGCACTGGGAGCAACTGCGTGTATACGGTTGAGGACAAGGCAGTGCAACAGGTATATAGAGTAAGTGTAGAGGGGAGAGAAAAACTGAATGGGAGAGAATGTGGGAGGGGGAGGGGTTGGAATTGCTTGGTGTTGAACTGTCACAAAGTTGATCGTCTCGGGCGTGGTAGCCATGGTTACTAGCTGAAAATTTTGAACCACTGCATACGTTTATGTTTTGATTGCTGGCAGCCACGAAGCTTGCAGATGACTGTCGCCGATACAGCACGGAGATCTCTAGTTCCTCTAATTCGCTGAAGCGTGGAGCGCAAATGTATTCGCAAGCTCGAGGACAAGTGGAGATGGAGAGGGATATGATGCATCGCTATCTTGGACTTCAGGTCAGTGATGAAAACCGGAACCAGTCCTTTGTCAAATCGTATTTTCTCGCTCTCAAAACCGAGACAAAGAGACCGCGACAAAGAGACAGCGACAGACGATACGCACAACATTTTAGCCAAATGACGATGGTAATACAAGCAGAAACATGCCTCTTGCGAGCTGTTGAGGAAACTCTAGTTTCTTTCTTGGTTGTTGCCGCTTTGCATTCCCTTTTGTCCCAATGAGCATCAGGATGGGCCTGGTGTCCCATTCTTTGGCAACAGGGAACAGCTGCGACACCCGTATGGCGCTCACATCGCTGGAGTTGGCCTGATAGGCCCTGATACCAATCTCAGGCTTTTAGTTTTTTTTGTATAGCAATCTCAGGCTTTTCTTCGTGGAGGGATCTGGCAGTTGAAGTGCAGTGCATGATTGTGAAATGTTAGGACTCGGGGGGGTAAATCTTGTGAAGGGGGTTAAATGAACTGAAATCTTGTGAAGGAAGGGGGGTGAAATGAACTGAAATTTTGTGGATGATTCTTGTGGTGACTGGACACATATTTAGGGGTGCTTTTTGGTTGTCGGTGGCGCTTGTTTCTGGGAGTTTTGTGTAAGAGGACATGATGTAGAAATGTGAGAGATGCAGCGAACCTGATGCAAAGGATTCGGCTCCTTGTTTCCAGCTGTGTTGGTTCTCTGTAGTATGGACTGCTACTATGGAGAAATGGTCTTCAAGTTCAAGCCTTTAAACCACTAGTACCTCCGCCAGTGTTGGGAAATTAGGGAAAAGTGGACGTTTTCCCATTTTCCCCGAAGACTTCGGAGGTACCACAGGCTCGGCATCAGTTGTATTTCCCATTACCAAAAAAAAGGCAAAAGAGAAGAAAAGAAAGAAAGGAAGGACGTCGGGGAAGGCCGTGAAGTGGATGTGCTCACATCCGAACTCAAAGGAACGCATCTACCCAGAAACATAGCCAGTTTCGTTTTTTGTATGTGTTTTGCTTTCTTTTTTTGGTGATCCGCGTTTAGTGCCCTGCCAACGAGAGGCAAGGCGCATTCCACGGGCAGCTGACACTTTGCAATGGGGGGCGCATTCTCACTCGTACTCCAGATTCTGTATCCAGCTGCTTTCACGTCCAAAGTGTTGTTGCTTTTTTGTTTTCTTTTTTGTTCTTTTTTTTTTCTGCTGTCGTGATTACAGCAGGGCTGCAATGCCCGTTGGGAGGGCATACTGTCACAGGTACTCCAGATTCTGTATCTAGCTGCTTTCACGTCCAAAGAGTTGTTGCTGAATTTTTGATTTTTTTCTTTTGTTTGTTCCTGCTGCCGTGATTTCAGCAGAGCTGTAACGCCCGTTGAAGGTGCATACTCTCGCATGTACCCAAGAATCTGCATCCGGCTGCTTTCACGTCCCTAGCGTAGTTGATTTATTTTTTATTTTTATTTTTCCCATTTCCGAAGAGAAGCATAAAAGAAAACACAATGGGACCCAGGCTCGGCAACTTTCGGCGTGCAGTGAAATTCAGGGTTGGGAAAAACAGGCTCGGAGGTACTAGTGGTTTAAGTTCAGCTGTTTTGCTTTTTTAAGCCCAGGTTAATTGAGACAGAGATGTAGAAAGTTCTGTTTCTTATTCAGTGTGCTTTGTTGTTTCTTTCTTTCTTTCTTCTTCTTCTTTTTTTTTCAAGTGTTGTTTCTTTCTTTCTTTCTTTTTGTTTAATGGATGTCATGAAGGACTGCTTCGATTCTGTTTTATTCGTTCCCGTTTTGTCATGATTTTTAACACACTTTTTCCTGTTTTTCCAAATCAAACAGGTTGTTGAGCCACTGAAGGCCATGGTGATGGGGGCACCTTTGGAGGAAGCTCGGGCACTGATGAAGCAGTATGAGAGAGTGCGTCAGGAGGCGCAGATACAGGCAAGTATCCTG